AMRWRAATTTCGCATGCAACCCACACCATGTCGCTGAAAGCTGCACACCTTCAGCTCTTCTTTTTCTTTCTTTTTTTTAACTGTTCATGAGCAGATCTTGAATCCAATGGGAGGAGAGATGGATACCTCTGTTAGGGTGTGGGGTGTTGATTCATGAGTCAGAAATACAATAATATAAACAATATACAAAATATTAGGAAATCAATCAGTAAGACCAATGTAATCCCCTTAGCAAATGGGGTTAGGTGGTTCCACCAGCACTGGGCAATGGGCAAGGTGCCCTCTTCTGGTGTTCACACAAACAGTGACCGGATAAATTACCCTTGAAATAGGCCTTTTGGCACCTTTTTGCCCACCAGTCCTCAGACGAAGACTGACGGCTCTTACTGTGAATGCAGTGGGGGATTGTTCCTAGCAGCAACTTCTCGCTGCTGCGTTCAATCCTATGCCTCAGGGGAAGGGAAATCAGTGCTGTATACCCTCTGTATATTGCTGTTCACGGATTGGTAAATAGGACGTTGTTTTCCGCGCAAAAAAAAAGGGAGTTTTAAAACATATGAACATGTAACTATAGATACATATATGCATATAGATAGATATATATCGAGCATTAAAAGAGGGCTTTTCGAAAAGATATCAAGACACATTCGAAAAGATATCAAGACACAATCGTTGAACTAACCATTATACATATATATAAATATACATGTCAATATACACATATACAAATATACGTACCAGATCATCGAAAGAGCCCCCTAAGTCCCTTACCCTGTCCCTTTCTTCATGCCGGTTGGGGTTAAATACTCGTCAACCTCTCTCTCTCTCTCTCTCACACACACACACACACACACACACACACAAAAGGTTGGTGCGAGTAAAGCCGACCACTTTTCTCAGGGGTGTCGCTAACCCATCAGTCAAATGCATCCTGGGCAGACTCTGTCCAGGTTCAACCTCCTGATGGGTCGGTGAAAGTCCCACGAAACAGTCTTTTCGGCACAGTCATGCTTTTTTTGAGTGTATACCGAATATGACAACACACACGCACACACACACACACACACACACTAAAAAGAAAAAGAAGAGAAAAAGAAAAGTCCTGATGGGCCAGTGACAGTCGAACGAAACCGTCTGGGACAGTCGTCTCTTTTTATTGTGCGGAGTGCCACTTGCATATAGCGAAAATATGATAACACACGCAACGACACGTAACTCGGCCTAGATACTGCTAGCACAGAGGATTAGATTAAGCGCCTTAATCCTGATGGGTACAGAAAAGCAGATCAGACCTGATATTGTGCACCTCTCCCAGAACATGACCAGCTTCGGGCGCTAGATCCACACCTCTCTGAACTGAAAGAGGAACCTCGCCCGGGCTGTGGCAGGCGGCCAACCGCTCTCCCTGAAAGGCCCCCCCCGCCCTCTCCCCCCACTCCCCCGCTTCCGTCACGTCCCCAGGAGGGCCAGTGCAGCCACTCCCTGGCTGTCGTACAATCGAGCTGCTCTTTTGTTCTTTTCGTTTTATTGATCAGATCAGAACAGATAAAAAAAAAAAAAAGAAAAAAAAAAAAAGAACAGATACTACAGATCCTACACTCAATCTTACCAAGAAAGGTGTCTAGATGATTTTGAAGTCGGCCCCCGCACCGGCATTGAAGTACGAAATAATGGAGAAGCAGGCGTTACGAGGGGCCCAAAAACGAAGTGACCTTTTTTTTTAATTAAAAAAAAACGAAATTACCGTAACCGCTAACCGCTGACCACTACAACCAATTAATTCCTTGGGCCTTTAAAAAAGCAAAAAAAAATAAAATCCTTGGGCCTCGCTCCACTACTCGAACAAGTGCACAAGAAACAGAAAAAAATTGTGGCGAGAGTGAGCTTTTTGCACATGTCGAGAGTGGTGGAGCGGGGGCCCTCATCAAGCATCCGGCCAGAATTAAGGCCAGGTACCTCCAGGAAGGATATTGGGGGCACCGACACGTCTCATCACTCCCAGGGCCTGACGAATCGGATTTGTGGCGAAGGTGAACCGAGGACGGTTTCCATGGACGCATCCGGCCAGAATTGCGGCCAGGTACCTCCAGGAAGGATATTGGGGGCACCGACACGTCTCATCACTCCCAGGGCCTGAGGCATCGGATTTGTGTTTCTTCAGCTCGTCGATACCGCCTTGGCTCCACTAATCTTTACAGCACTCGACTCGAAGGGCCTTGTTGCACTACTCGCCATCCGCCAACATTTTGATTGCATGTGGACATCATTTTTGTCCAGATGCATTCGAAATCTTGGCAGATGGCGAGTAGTGCATAGTGCAACTAGGGGCCGAAACGTAGCCGAGCCTCGCGATTGCCCACTTAGAGGAGCTCGCCGCACAGCACACGAAACGAAAACGAAACGAGTGCATCTGCCCACGAAAGGTGGCAAAATACACTCGTTATTTATAGCAAATCCTTGAACATGGCCATTTTCTGGAGGAAGATGCACTCGTCTCGTTTTTCGTTTCGTGTCCAAGTGCGGCGACGCCCACATTCAAGATTATTGGTCAGTCACAATCAAGGCCGTACAGAAAAAATGTATCTGGCTGCAAAATCACGTGCAGAATATCTTAGGAAAATTCCTACAGTAGTGCGAGTACTCACATAGCAAAAAAACAAAAATGTTCTATCTGGCTCTTTGGGTCTCGCCACACCACTGGCGACGTGAAAAAGACAAAAATGTGGCGGAGGCATCTGGTCATCTTCTAGCGTCCTCGCACTTTCCCAATCTTTGCCCTATCCTTTCCAGGAGAGATCCCGCAGGTACAGGCACTTTCCCAAGCTTTTCCGCGAGCGATCCGTCGGCCCAGATACCGGGCCTCGCTGCGCAACACCCCACATGCGCAAACGACAAAACATACGACAGTTTTTTTTTGTTTTTTTTTTTTCCCGCGAGCTCCTCGCACAACACCTCTAGCCCGTGCGCAGCGGGGCCGAGGTCCCACTTGTAGCAAACAGGTTCGGATCGAATGCCCGAATCTGGATGTGTTCTATGCGGAGATGCAGAAAAGCAGCTCAATCTTGATTTCCTGCACCTCTCCACAATCACGTCCAAGTGCGGGCATTCGATCCGATCCTCTTTGCTAGTGGGACCACGCCCCGGGAGATTCATTCTCATTTCCTCACATTTGGAGCGTTGTGCAGCGAGGCCCACTGGCGCAAACGCGTCCTTCCCGCACGCGAGCCTACGAAGAAAGTCGCAAAACAATTTGGCCCACCCTTTTTTTATTTTTTTTAAATCCTCGTGAGCAGGGGCAGTTCACAAACAGATCATGGGTTCAAATCGAGCTGAATACAATCACGTTTCAGCAACCTGCTTCAACGCTGGGAAGAGAAAACGCGCATCAGGATTTTCTTAGATAAATCTGACCGCAATCTCCTCGGATTGTAGATGTAGGGCCTCGCCACACCACGGTGGAAAGGCAAAAAAATCGAAGGCTGTCGAATTAATTTATTCGAAAGCCTCCCTTTGACAGTTTGCGTCCCCCCCCTTTAGCCAGACAGCACTGGAGACTGGACGGACTTGTGAATGCAAGATGGAAAAAGACGAACGCGCCTGAGGGTACGAAAAGCATTAGGGCCTCGTTCCACACCACTTTTGCTGCACTACTCTTGAAAGGTGCAAAAGGAGAGTGAATACTCTTGAAAGGTGCAAAACGAGAGTGAATCTTCCGCTAGAACATGGAAAGATACAGCGACATGATTTTTGTCTTTTGTGCATTTCAAGAGCTGTGCAGCGAGGCCCATAGTTCCAACCCCCTCACTTACGAGCGAAGTGAAAGCTCCTATCTACTCAGAGCACCTGCTGCACCCTTGAAACTCAAGGACGACAGAGCCAAAATCGCCCTTGAATTCAAGTGACCTTGAGTTCAAGAGCACACCCTTTGGATAGCCGCGGAAACCGGGGGTCTTTTTTTCTCTTTTTTTT